ATCAGAAGGTAAACAGAGGGGGACAATCAGAAGGTAACGGAAGGAACATCAGAAGGTAACAGGAGGGAACATCAGAAGGTAACAGGAGGAACATCAGAATGTAACAGGAGGGAACATCAGAATGTAACAGGAGGGAACATCAGAATGTAACAGGAAGGAACATCAGAAGGTAACAGGAGGGAACATCAGAAGGTAACAGGAGGGAACATCAGAATGTAACAGGAGGGAACATCAGAAGGTAACAGGAGGGAACATCAGAAGGTAACAGGAGGGAACATCAGAATGTAACAGGAGGGAACATCAGAATGTAACAGGAGGGAACATCAGAATGTAACAGGAAGGAACATCAGAATGTAACAGGAGGAACATCAGAAGTTAACAGGAGGGAACATCAGAAGGTAACAGGAAAGAACATCAGAAGGTAACAGGAGGGAACATCAGAAGGTAACAGGAGGGAACATCAGAATGTAACAGGAGGGAACATCAGAATGTAACAGGAAGGAACATCAGAATGTAACAGGAGGGAACATCAGAAGGTAACAGGAGGGAACATCAGAAGGTAACAGGAGGGAACATCAGAAGGTAACAGGAGGGAACATCAGAATGTAACAGGAGGGAACATCAGAATGTAACAGGAGGGAACATCGAATGAAAGGGAAAGGGGAACATCAAATGTAAACGGGAGGGAACATCAGAGGTAACAGGAGGGAACATCAGAAGGTAACAGGAAAGAACAACAGAAGGTAACAGGAGGGAACATCAGAAGGTAACAGGAGGGAACATCAGAAGGTAACGGGAAAGGGAACATCAGAATGTAACACAGGGAACATCAGAAGGTAACACAAAGGGAACATCAGAAGGGTAACAGGAAGGAAACATCATAAGGTAACGGGGGGAAACTCAAAAGGAAACAGGAGGGAACATCAAGCGGAACAAGGGAGCATCAGAAGGGTAACAGGAGGGAACATCATAAGGTAACAGGAGGGAACATCAGAAGGTAACAGGAGGGAACATCAGAAGGTAACAGGAGGGAACATCAGCGGGTAACAGAAGGGAGCATCAGAAGGTAACAGGAGGGAACATCATAAGGTAACAGGAGGGAACATCAGAAGGTAACGGAGGGAACATCAGAGGGTAACAGAAGGGGCATCAGAAGGTAACGGAGGGAACATCAGTGGGTAACAGAAGGGAGCATCAGAAGGTAACAGGAGGAAACATCAGAATGCAACAGGTGGGAACATCAGAGGGTAACAGGAAGGAACATCAGAAGGTAACAGGAAGGAACATCAGAATGAAACAGGAGGGAACATCAGCGGGTAACAGGAGGGAACATCAGAATGCAACAGGAGGGAACATCAGCGGGTAACAGGAGGGAACATCAGAAGGTAGCATCAGAATGTAACAGGAGGGAACATCAGCGGGTAACAGGAGGGAACATCAGAAGGTAACAGAAGGAAACACCAGAAGGTAACAGGGGGCAACATCAGAAGGTAACAGGGGTAACATCAAAAGGGTTTAACGGAGGGGAACATCAAAAGGGTAACAGGAGGGAACATCAGGGGGTACAGGAGGGAACATCAGAAGGTAAAGAAGGAAACCACCAGAAGGAAAAACAGGGGGCAACATCAGAAGGTCAGGAGGGAACATCAGTAGGAAACAGAGGGGAAATCAGATGTACCAGGAGGGAACATCGAGGGTAACAGGAGGGAACATCAGAAGGGTAAAGGAGGGGACATCAGAATGAAACGGGAGGGGACATCAGAATGTAACAGGAGGGAACACAAATGTAACAGAGGGAATATCAGAAGGTAACAGGAGGGAACATCAGAAGGGTAAAGGAGGGAAAATCAGTGGGTAGAGGGGGAACATCAGTAGAGGGAGGAACCATAGTAGCAGGAGGGAACATCAGTAGGTAGCAGGAGGGAACTCATTAGGTACAGGAGGAACATCGTGGGTAGTAGGAGGGAACATCAGAGGTAGCAGGGGAACATCATAGGTTAGAGGAACATCAGTAGTGCAGGGGGGAACATCAGTAGGTAGTAGGGGAACCCATCAGTGGGTAGTAGGAGACATCTAGGAGTAGGGGAAATCAGTAGGTAGTGGGAGGGAAATCAGTAGGTAGTAGGAGGGACATCAGTAGGTATGGGGAGGGAAGATCAGTTAGGTAGTAGGAGGAAAATCAGAAAGTAGTAGGAGGGAACATCAGTGTAGTAGGAGGGAACATCAGTAGGTAGTGGAGGAACATCAGTAAGTAGTAGGAGGAACATCAGTAGGTAGTAGGAGGGAACATCAGTAGGTAGTAGGAGGGAACATCAGTAGGTAGTAGGGGGGAACATCAGTAAGTATAGGAGGAAAATCAGTAGGTAGTAGGAGGGAAGATCAGTAGGTAGTAGGAGGGAACATCAGTAGGTAGTAGGAGGGAACATCAGTAAGTAGTAGGAGGGAACATCAGTAGGTAGTAGGAGGGAACATCAGTAGGAAGTAGGAGGAACATCAGTAAGTAGTAGGAGGGAACATCAGTAGGTAGTAGGAGGAACATCAGTAGGTAGTAGGAGGGAACATCAGTAAGTAGTAGGAGGGAACTCATTTAGGTAGAGGAGGGAACATCAGAAAGTTAGTAGGAGGGAACATCAGTAGGTAGTAGGAGGGAACATCAGTAGGTAGTAGGAGGGAACATCAGTAGGTAGTAGGAGGGAACATCAGTAGGTAGTAGGAGGGAACATCAGTAGGTAGTAGGAGGGAACATCAGTAAGTAGTAGGAGGGAACATCAGTAGGTAGTAGGAGGGAACATCAGTAGGTAGTAGGAGGGAACATCAGTAGGAGGGAACATCAGTAGGTAGTAGGAGGGAACATCAGTAGGTAGTAGGAGGGAACATCCAGTAGGAGTGGAGGGAAACTTTCAGAGGTAGTAGGGGGGAACATCAGTAGGTAGTAGGAGGGAACATCAGTAGGTAGTAGAAGTGGAAACATCATTTGGGTAGTAGGAGGGAACATCAGTAGGTAGTAGGAGGGAACATCAGTAGGTAGTAGGAGGGAACATCAGTAGGTAGTAGGAGGGAACATCAGTAGGTAGTAGGAGGGAACATCAGTAGGTAGTAGGAGGGAACATCAGTAGGTAGCAGGAACATCAGTGGAAGTAGGAGGAACTCAGTAGTAGTAGGAGGGAACATCAGTAGGTAGTAGGAGGAAACTATCGTAGGTAGTAGGGGGAAACTTCAGTAGGTAGTAGGGGGGAAATCAGTAGGTAGTAGGATGGGAACATCAGTATGTTAGTAGGAGGGAACCATCAGTAGGTAGTAGGAGGAACACCAGAAAAAAATATAGGAAGGGTTTATTAGCACCCAGTCCACCCCTGTATAGACTGGTGGGTGGGGGACGTGGATGCTGGATGTGGGGCTGGACGTGGGAGAGGCTGGACGTGGGAGGGCTGGTTGGGAGCTGGCTGGGAGAGGCTGGATGTGGGAGTGGACGTGAGGTTGGATGGGGCTGGGGTGGGGAGGTGGAGTGGGAGGGGCTGGTGTGGGAGCTGGGATTTGGGAGAGGCTGGACGTGGGAGAGATTGAACTGGGTTTATGTGGGGCTATGGGTGAGTGGGGGGTAAATCTTATATAATGAAACTACATACTTATTTATCCATTGTTTTATTGTTTAAATTGTTCCATTTCTTATTCCACTCTATTATTTACTACATCCCGGTATATTATATCTACAACAACTGTGTCTTTCATGTATAAATGGCATAATACAGCACTGACCGCACATGTAAAAAACAACTATACAATCATACTTTGGCGCTTGGATTTCATTATGACTAGCGGTTTCGTCTAAGAATTTCCGTAGATTATAAAGTGGCTTATTGTGTCACAGGGACAAACCACCTGAGAGGGAGTAACTGGGTGACACACTGCTGGCTGTACACGTCACAATGAAATCCATACAATCTAATTAAATTTTTTTTGTTCATAATAATTACATGTAAACGCATGTGTTTATTGGAGTTTTGGATGTAAAACGGCTTATGGGTATCAAAACACAATTACCCAATGGCAATCTTCGTTTATTATTACCTTTCATTAGTATAAAAACTCTAATCTGATAACTGTATGTTGAGGATTTTATCCCCCCCAAAAATTTAAAACATTTAATAAGGTATCATAATCATTCTTTGCTTTCTGAGCATCTTTGTGCTAAAAATAGAACTTTCACCCATAGGGAAAATCAAGGAACGGAACGTGGAACGAATGGTTTTGAGTTGCTCCTTAGGCGTCGCATGACGGTGGGCACGGCCCAGGAGCTCTGCCTGGTGAGGCAAGATACACCCCACTACCCCCCCTTTCCCCCACCCCTGGGGATAATATACCCCCTTTTAAACCCCCAGTAGAACGGAAAAAAAGAGGGGCCACTGAACACTACCCGATACACTATTTGTTGAGGAGGTCGGGAGGAAGGGGGGGGTGAGGGAGGGCTTGGCCATATTGAGTTTCTTTACCGAGTGGGGCCCGACCCGGAGAGCGGGGCCCCCTAAAGGATGGAAGTGTAAGGAGGGATCGCAAAATATTTGTCTGATAAAAAGTTTTCATAGGGGGGTTTTTTTACCCCTGGGTTTATGTTTTTTTTTTTTTGTTGTTTAAAATTGTGGCGAGGGGGCTTCATAAGAGGGGAGGGACATGGGGGTGAGTTGGGAGTGGTTATTTCCCAGACTCGCACCGCAAATTTAAGTTTTCAAAAAAAAAAATAGACAGTGTTTTCACATTTAAAATCTCTCTTATAAATCTGTAAAACAAAAAAAAAAATTTACTAATTTTCTTCTTTAAAAAACACCACCAATATTATTACTACAGTTACAATATAAAGTCGTCATGACTATCCTGCCCTCTGGATGGCAGGCGGTTCCACAACTTGCCAGTGGGCTTCCTGCCCACTTACCACAACAACAACGACAAACAGTGACCTGCGGCCCACTTGCCCTTTCAGCTGAGGGCTCTTCTGAGCCCCGAGGCTCTCCCTACCACCAACCTGCGACGGTGAGAGACGCTAGGGCTCAGACGGCCCGTGGGGACCACACTGGCCAGGCCAGGCCGCACCCTGGCATAAGTGCCACTTATTCGTGCCCTCCATAACTTGGCAATACTTTACGGTTGTAATACTTGTTTTAATACTGAGGCCTAGATCAGGTTTGAGCCTGGAGTGGGTGGTGAGAGGCGAGTGTTTGACACTACGCTCACCAGGCTCCTGAGGCTTCCTCGGTGGGAGGAGTGTTTGACACCACGCTCACCAGGCTCCTGAGGCTTCCTTGGTGGGAGGAGAATGTATGACACTCGCTCACTAGGCTCCTGAGGTTGCCTTGGTGGGAGGAGTGTTTGACACCACGCTCACCAGGCTCCTGAGGCTTCCTCGGTGGGAGGGGTGTTTGACACTACGCTCACCAGGCTCCCGAGGCTGTCTTAATGGGAGGAGTGTGTTTGACGCTCGCTCACCAGGCTTCTGAGGCTGCTTTGGTGAAGCTCCTGAGGCTGCCTTGGTGGGTGTGGGCCTGGTGGGACCCGTAGGGTCTGCCTTGGCCCACCCGCCTTCACTGTTAGACCCGTATTGGTGCGAGGAGGGAGGGGAGGCAGCCCCTCTTGGAATATGACTCCCCACCTCCAGCAGCGGCCTCCCCGTTCCCCCGTGGCAGGTGTTGGGGGAACTAAGGACCGCCGTCATCAGTGGTGTGGGCGAGGAGGGGGAGATCGCTGCACCCACCCTCGCTACACGTCTACCTACGTGGCACCTGGGACACCCTACGTACGATAGATAGTGCATATTTCCTATGCAGTATATATGTATCATTATATTATGAATATATATTACATTCTTCTTATTAACCTAGTGAAAGCTGACCGCAGTTCAGAGTGGTTTGTCGCGGGCGGGCGGGGCGCCCTGCTGAGGGCGGCTGAGGACAGCCCCTGCCCGCAAGCGGCGGTACTGAGTCCTTGGCAACACTTGTAGGCTACAGCAGGGGGCAGGGCTGACCACGGCGCCCTGCACGTGATACTGGTGTCTGGCCTGCCTTTAGTTCACTAGCAGTGAGTTGCAGACAGGGCGCAGACACTCACGCCTCCAGCCAGTCCAACCCCGCTCTGCTACAATACACTACCATCGGTATACAAGACTGCCTTACACTAAGCATTTTGGCTACAGGAGGCTACGATACTGTCCCGTGGCTCATGCTGCGGCGGCTTCAGCAGCAGCGGGGCCACTACAAGCCCACTGAATGACTAGCGCGCACTACAAGCTTGGCAACACCTACACAGATATCTAGGGTGAGGCTCCACACTGACAGCACACACTTAAACTACGGGATGGCAGAACATAGTAGAATCACTCAACAGTCACAAAAAATAACCAAAGAAATTGGCCTACGACTACCTACATGGGTTTCTGGGGGGAGGGAGGGGAGGGGAGGAGGACCATTCTACAGATCACATCACACACCCACCACCTACACACACATAGAGAGTGTCCCATTGAACATAGTCACCAGATTCCCAGAATGAGACTTTGTACATTGCGAGCATCAACATACCAAGCCCTCCTAAATAAAATATTTGCCATTTTTTCAAAACCCATTATACAATACCATAAGAAAATATAGAACCTCGCACACAAATATAACAACGCTTTTAAACCACTGTCCGTGCTCATGAAATTACTTAAGAGGGCATTGTTATATCTTAGTAATATTGCACTATATATTTCTTATGTACACCCTGGTGGTCAGTGAAGCTAATGTTGCTGTTTTTTTTCTGACTCGTTTTCTTTTCTGCGATATCTGATATGTGGCACACTGTTACCCAACTGAAGAATCTCACTACTAAACCTTATAAATCTGAATGATCTGTCTTGGAGGCTTGAAGAGGTTATTTCTTGAACATGTAAGGGCTTGGTGAAAGTTCTGATGTAAAGATGCAGTACTAGGGTTGTAGGTACTGGGGAATAATGAAGGCTTTGTCTCTTAGGTACTTCGATCTCGAAAATATTGGGGCTCTGATGTTCTGGTTTGAAATATACTGGGGCTTAGGAGTTCTGTCTTGAAGAATTTTTTTTTTTTTTGGAGTAACTGTTAACTGAAGGAAATTCTTCCGTATGGTTTGCAGAAGGGTCTGAGAAGGATCTTGGTTTTATCTTGAAAGAAGGTTGGGCTGAGGAGGAGTACATAATGTTTTTGCACAGGGAAACGTCTGGAATTATGAGGTCTGGTTTTAACCGGGCTTTTAGGAAATTGTGTGAGAAAATATTAAGGTTAGAGTTTCTGTTTGATATATTTGGTTAGAACAGTGCCTCTCTTGTTGGAAATACTTCTGCCTAGGAAACTATAGCTTTTTTTTTTTTTTTAAACTGGCAATAGCGATTTTGTAAGATAAAGATTTATGTATTAACTGTATATTCCAATGAATGAAGTTCTATTGCGAGATACCGATACTTGGAGAATATTCTATCTTGAAGATGCTGACACTTGAGAAGGTTGTGCAGTGAAGAGTGAGGCTTGAACTTGAAGAAAGGGGTTCTGCACTAGACCTGGTGATGCAGCTACTGATCGGGTTGTAACAATATGAAACCAGCAACATTGCGGCGACCACACAGTCAGCAACGGGGCCTCGGCGTGAGCTGACCAGGACGGGCGGACCTGTCACACCCATGTCCATGCCCACTATATATGCCCACGATATATGCCTATGTCCATCATACTGGTAGGATCACTGTATTTAGCACGCCCGCGTTTCTACTAATTGCACCCATGTTACCCGTGGTGGATCCTTTGTGCGGTTAACAGCCTTGACAGCTACATCTATATCGCTACCTGTGAAGGCCCTTTTCAAATCCAGGTAGCTTCACCTATGACCATACAGGTACTGGTGATTTGCGGGCCTGGATCACTGCAAGCCCAATTAAATGGAACTTCAGTAGGGACCGTTGTTATCAACACTATTTTCCTCAACAGAAAAAATGGGACTTATTGAAATCTAACCCAAGTCTTCTCGCCAAACTCGCTGTTGTGTTAACATGAGTGAATCGACGGAGCCACGACTCAGGGAGGAGCAACGGGCAACGGGGAAGGAGGAAGGAGATGAAGGAGGGTAAGGGGGTAGTAGGACAGAGGCAGGTTTACCCGCTGAATAGGTCAACTGAACAGTCTTGGGTCATGCGAGGTCAGCCCCACGCGAGGCCCCATCACCCCAACGCTCGCCCAGATAGTCTTGTCACTGCCGGCCAACAACACGGGAGACTGAGAGCGGCAGCATTTAACAATCACGATATCCACTAAACACTGCGTTGTCGGCGATATTATCACATAGTCAGGAGGAGTTCAGTGTGACATCTTGTGAAGCTTCCATCCGCCAGAGGAGGAGGAGGAGGAGGAGGATGAGAGGACACGGGAGGACTCACAGCAGCGTCCCTGACCCCTCCATTACTGCACCTGCAGAGGGAGATGAAGACAGAGTTTACTAATGGTGACACTTAAGTGGATGAGGCGTGGTGCCTGTACGTGTCTGGCAAGGTAGAGTCCACGTACATGCTGTTTAAATATCATTGCTTTATCTTGTTGCTTTCTATATGATTCAACACACAACTCTCTTTCTCTCCCACATTTATTCGTGACCTATTCAACATGTTTGCTAACGTCAACACACACACACACACACACACACACACACACACACACACACACACACACACACACACATGCACACATCAAAATACCCAAATAACTCACATACACGTCCCTTCACAAAAGCTATTGTCTTTAGATTACTTATATCAGAATTAAAAACAAATATATAATTATTAGCTATTACTATAAAAACTCAAATCTTATATTAAATCTATAATCTAGAGCAGACAAGTGACGGTAAAAACAAGGTACGTTCAACAGAGAAACCTTTTTAAAATGACGATTCAGCCACTGTAGGCTTCAATGACGGGTCTGGAATACATTAAAAAAATGTTTTATATAAAGCATATGGAGGAGAGGAGCTGCTGGGTCAGGTCAGATGAAGTTACAAGTCAGGTCGAAGTGTCAGGTCCTGGTATACAGTGTTCAGTATGTTGATCCAAGATGATCTGTGCAATGGATCTAGACAAAATGAGGTGGATGGTGTCAGCCTCAACACACCTGTGTTGTTGGTGAGGTGGATGGTTTTCTTAATAGATAATATGTACTTGTTTCCAGAGCTTGCTGCTGTGACTGTGCTGCTGTGACTATGCTGTGTGACTGTGCTGCTGTGACTATGCTGTGTGACTGTGCTGCTGTGACTATGCTGTGTGACTGTGCTGCTGTTGACAGTATCTTGCCTGGTTGTATCTGACCCAGCATCGCCTCATCTTCCCCTGTGTTCCACACATCACTGTGTGGTCATCCATGCACTTAACAAAGGCCTCAGTGGGTGAAACTCGCATTAAAAAAAAGAGTCTTTGCTTAAAGTGTCCTTTTTTTTACCACTTCTTTAACTCAATAAATATATATGAAAAATACAAAAGGATTCTTTACCCAGTAAATATTAATTAAATATAATTTTCCCTTCAAAAACTTAATAACATTATTTCGAATGAAGTAATAAAAGAAACTGGCATTATGGAATCCTTTTGTCACACAAGAAGCAAACACACACACAAAAACCACAGTTTGCTGGTCTTACTGGGAACCACACACAGCAGAGGCAAGTCCAAAGTATCATTCTCTGTGGATGCTTAAATGAGTTCAATCTCAACCTATTTATTAACTTGTCTCTGCTCAGCAGTGACGCCACCAACGCCAATAAAATCCATTAGTGACTCGTAACCTGGCAGCCAAGCCATGATGAGGGTGTGCTTGAAGGCACCTCGAAAGTGATTCAAGAGGGAGAACGGTTACGTAGATCGTTCTCCAACATGGTTCCCGATATGTGAGCCGTCGTCCAGTGCCACCTGACACCGTGGGTGCCGGTGAATTCTGTTCCTGGATGAGCAATGTAGCGGTTGCGAGAGCTGCCAGGGCAGGAGGATAAAACCTGTTGGGTGACTCATTTTGTGTTGGCATTAAAACCGTCCAAACACACAGGCGAATTTATTTTATGATGTGTAAGTGGTGGTGGGTGTATATTTGTGTGTGTGTGTGTGTGTGTGTGTGTGTGTACACTCGTCATCGCAACAAAATTGGGATCGTTGGAATTTTATAATGGAAATGGACTCATAAAAAATTTTTTTAGAGGACCGTGAAGAATCTTATAAGACAAATGCAAAAAAAAAAAAAAAAAGAGCATTGAAAAATATTGAAAACTCACGTTTTTTATTTATTTTTTTAATTTGAGAATGCCTCATCAAATCGGCTTCGGATCTTAAACTCTGGTCGACTATTGCCAAATAAAGTTCGTAGAACAACTGTCATGGCCAGCTGCTGTCTCCTCCCTTGTATATAAACCCTTCCAGATATTTATTTCCGCGATAATGTTTGTAAATAATTTCGCCCGTTTGCGAAGTGTTAAGCATTCCCAAATCTCTCTTGAAGTTGACTGCATGTGGCAGGATTTGATGAAATAACTTATGACTAGCCTGGTGTTCCAAGGTATGGGATCCACCGCCTACCCTCGGCCAGGTGCCCATAATTACCTGAGTCACAGTTCTGCGTACTGTGACGCAGAGAAAGCACATGCAAAAATCATTTTAAAAAATCTTCAAGAAAGCCTTGTTGCCGGTGAAGGGCTCTTGACTCAAGGAATTCGAGGTAACCTCCTTTATCCCCTAGATCGAACCTGATGACCTCTGATTACGTACCAGGTGCAGTATGGCCCCTACAAGTTTAGCGCTCCCATGTGATATATAATTTTAAGGATATTTCCCCACATTCCGAGCATGTTTACATCCGTGTCAGCACCAGGAAAGATCCGCTTCCTCAATATGTTAATATAAATCACATTATTTTAGTTTAATTAAAGCCAAAACTGTAGCGACTTGATTTGGAAAATTAATGATTAATCCAGCCAGGTACTGGTGGGGGTTAGAACCCATGGTGAGTGAGTAGTAAAATTTTTAACTTGTAACAGCTGATGGTATGAGAGAAACTTTGTAAACGTTAGTCTGGGTTACTATATACTGGACCCCTGGGTAGCCTGACAGTCTGGGTTACTACATACTGAACCCGCTGGGTAGCCCTGACAGTCTGGGTTACTACATACTGACACCGCTGCAGGGTATAGCCCTGGATACAGTCTGGGTTACTACATACTGAACCCGCTGGGTAGCCCTGACAGTCTGGGTTACTACATACTGAACCCGCTGGGTAGCCCTGACAGTCTGGGTTACTACATACTGAACCTGCTGGGTAGCCCTGACAGTCTGGGTTACTATATACTGGACCCCTGGGTAGCCCTGACAGTCTGGGTTCCTATATACTGGACCCCTGGGTAGACCTGACAGTCTGGGTTACTACATACTGGACCCCTGGGTAGACCTGACAGTCTGGGTTACTACATACTGAACCCCTGGGTAGCCCTGACAGTCTGGGTTACCACATACTGAGACCCCTGGGTAGCCCTGACAGTCTGGGTTACCACATACTGGACCCCTGGGTAGACCTGACAGCCTAGGTTACCACATACTGAACCCCTGGGTAGCCCTGACAGTCTGGGTTACTACATACTGGACCCCTGGGTAGCTCTGACAGTCTTGGTTACTACATACTGGACCCCTGGGTAGCCCACAGTATGGGTTACTATATACTGGACCCCTGGATAGACCTGACAGTCTGGGTTACAACATACCGGACCCCCGGGTAGACCCTACAGTCTGGGTTACTTACTACTGGTACCCCATGGGTCTATAATGGACCCTGTGACCTGACAGTTTGGGTTACTATATACTGGACCCCCGGGTAGCCCCCACAGTTTGAGTTATTACATACTGGACCCCTGGGTGGTTCTGACAGTCTGGCTTACTACATACTGGACCCCCGGGTAGACTCCACAGTCTGGGTTACAACATACCGGACCCCTGGGTAGACCTGACAGTTTTGGTTACTACATACTGGACCCCTGGGTAGCCCTGGAAGTCTGGGTTACTATATACTGGACCCCTGGGTAGTCCTGACAGTCTGGGTTACTACATACTGGACCCCTGCGTAGCCCTGACAGTCTGGTTACTGCATACTGGACCCCTGGTAGTTTCTGACAGTCTTGGTTACTACATACTAACCCTGGGTAGCCCAGAGTGGGTTACTATATACTGGACCCCTGGTAACCCTGCACAGTCTGGGTTACTACATACTGGACCCCGCGTAGCCCTACAGTCGGTTCTTGGACCCCAGGGTAGACCTGCATGTTGGGTTACATATACTAGACCCCGGTAGCCCCACAGTTGAGTTATACATACTGGACCCTGGGTGGTTCTGACAGTCTGGCTTACTACATACTGGACCCCCGGGTAGACTCCACAGTCTGGGTTACCACATACTAGACCCCCGGGTAGTCCTAACAGTCTGGGTTACCACATACTAGACCCCCGGGTAGACCTAACAGTCTGGGTTACTACATACTAGACCCCCGGGTAGACCTAACAGTCTGGGTTACCACATACTAGACCCCCGGGTAGACCTAACAGTCTGGGTTACCACATACTAGACCCCCGGGTAGTCCTAACAGTCTGGGTTACCACATACTAGACCCCCGGGTAGACCTAACAGTCTGGGTTACCACATACTAGACCCCCGGGTAGTCCTATCAGTCTGGGTTACTATATACTAGACCCCTGGGTAGACCTAACAGTCTGGGTTACTATATACTAGACCCCCGGGTAGTCCTCATAGTTGGATGTTAACTAAGAACATTTATCAGGTTAGGCCTACTGGTTGTTCTGTGTAACACTGATGAAGTAACAACTGCTGATTGAAACGCGAGTCAATTTTCTTCTTTAAGCTTATAAACGAGTGTAATAGTTAGGTGTATATATGACTGCAATATCTATATGTGAGTAAAATATCGTAGACCTATATGCAAGTTTAATATTGTAGGCCTATATAAGAGCAATATTGTGCACCTATATAAGAGTATAACATCGTAGGCCTATATACGAGAGTAATAGTGTGTAGAGCAACATTGCAGGCCTATTGCATGTGTATGTGATGATGATGGAACATGTATTACAGGTGTAGTGTGTGCTACAGTAATACAGATGTATAGTATCATGCAGAGGGAGAAAACACAGGTGACTCGAGGACGGAATTGAAATATAAATGATGTTCAAAGTTACTTTGTAATGAATATTAAAACTATTTCCTATCACATGTAATATTTACTGACACCCCTACTACTCTTCTGCTTCATAATAATAATAATAATAATAATAATAATAATAATAATAATAATAATAATAAATATCATAAGATATTTTTGACAGTAAATCTGAGCTGTGTTGATGGAAGGTGACGTCGTCGTAAAGATTTGGGAT